ACTGACAGCAAGCTTACACTTATTGATGTACATGTCTGTCTGTTTAAAAGGTCATCTTTGGGGTCAAATAGTTCGTAATGATTCCAAGCACAACTACATAAACATTTCAGAGCCATCAGTTCATTAAATGAGAATTTGTGAATATGTTAAATTGAAAAGTGTTTAAAGGTCGTCTGCTTTATAAAAGACTTAATCAAGATGCTTGCAATTTGAGTGATTTCTTTTCCTGCGCAGGTACTAGAAATGTTAATCCCGTGGATCCCGGCCTTTTTAGGTCCCGACAATCCCGGGATTCTTGGAAAATAATCCCGTGATTTTCGGGATTTGTAATTTGCACTGATGGCAATAATAGAAACTACTTTTCTTAACCAGTGTTGGCTATTTCTCTTGTTTTTAATTTAACAATAAATATTTTTTTTTTTAAATATCTAGCTCATTATACATATAACACCGTGCGATTGTAAATTTTACACACAAAAATCATTATATTCGCGAAACCATGAACCAAATATAGCAAAATTGCGTTTTTAGTTTTTTCACTCTGACGTCAGTAATACAAAAATGATTTAAAAAATTCATTGAAATGTGCTTAGAGAAGAAGTATGGGTATCAAATTAAAGAGGCAATTCTGTAGAATTTAACCAGGTTCAATATTTTGTTGCACAATGACTGGTAAGTATTGAAAATGTCCTTTTAAAATTTTATCATTGAAATTTGCAATATTTGTTTTTGAAAAAAATTATATTTTAAGGACTTATGTGAACTCGATAACATCCTCGAACTTTATCAGCTTAAAAAATTACTTATTCGTCCTTGTGAATCCAAAAAATTAAAATTTTTTTAAATTCTAAAGAAATTTCCTCTTTCATTTGGTACACATATTTTTATTCTACATTGCTTTGCATTTTTTAAATAATTTTTGGTATCAATCATATTTTTGAAATACCAAAGTCCTTTAGTATAAATCCTGACGTCAGAGAGAAAAAAACGCCACTTTAAATAAAAAAGTAGGTTTCAAACCCATTTATTTATTATTTATTTTATGGTAGGAGAGATAACTAGAAGCAATTTTTTCGATTTAAGTTGTTGAAAAGTAATGAATATCAAAATCTCGGGACTAAACGACATCCCGAAAATCCCGGGATCGTAATAAGCGAAAAAAATTAACTTCCCTAGCAGGTACGTATGTATATATGTGGTTGTTCGCTAACAATAAAATGCAATTAAACAACAAACTTTGGATACAAATATACATACAAGTGAAAGCAATCACCCAGCAATCCGAATTCCTCATATATTTTTGGCAAAAAAGAAAATTGATTTAAAGTGGCGAACATTTTTTATTAATTTTATTATTTTAGAAATGCTTCAGATTTACACTCATTGACACGCAAACCTTACCACCACTTTTTTTTTAATTTGGTAGTGTTTTGCAAGTAAACAAAAAAATTTCATCTCTCTTAATATAGATGAAACGGCAAAAAAAAACTATATAAATAAATGAGGTTGTTCCCCCACACTTGCCTGGTTATCAGGTTATCTGGTTATGTGGTTATATTTTTTATTCAGTTTACAACAATAAAATACACTACAGAATAATAATTTTTAACCAGATTACCGAATAACCAAACAAGTGTGAACAACCTGAAAGTTTTAAACTTTGTACAAAATTTGGAAAAATTCATCAAATTTTTATCAAAATTTCCAAAATTAAAAAAAAAACATTCGGTAAATTTCGGATATGCAGTAGCTCACCCATCAACCAAAATAAGAAATAAATGTTAAAAATATACTGTAAGTCCTAGCACCTTTAAGCTTGCACATTATTATATTAAAATTAAATATAATAAAAAAATAAAAATCTGCATACCCAAAATGTGATGAAAATTTTTCTAAATTTTGGACAATGTTTGAAACTTTTATCTGCTTATATAGTTTTTATTGCGGCTTGAACCATACTAAAAAAATTCCTTAATTTACAAAATTCTACCAACTTAAAAAAAAGTGGCGGTAATATTTGCAATTAATTAAGCTCTATGAACCGTTTGGTGCCTTAGTAGTGGACTGAGGCTCATAATTTGTTTCGTGGAGCTCTGTTTTACGAGGAAGCAGTATCGAAAACATTACCCTTACTTCCATGCTCCGTTGTTTCCTTCCGCTCCCGGTACCACCATCAAGTATTTCATCGGGAGTATATTGGAGCACGAAGCTCTACTTCAGCTGCCGTGTAAAGTATCATCTAATTGAGATACCCTGTCATTAATTTTCAGATAAAGCCACCCCTGTCGGGATCGTTCGCCCTCTCCCGCCCGTTCCAAGGGGAAATCTTAAAAGGAAGTATATCGTCGTTTTGCTCTTTTTGCTGAATTCTCCTAGCGATCTTGAGATGCAACCTTTTCCTGGATTATTAACGTTTCCGTGTCGTCGTCTCATTTTTCCCTTCTTTGCTCGGCTTTAGCTCTTTTTTCCCCGTGTAGCGACCGAGATGATTCCTATGATGACTGTTGCCGCATCATTTGATGCCTTAGTGGAAGATCGACTTATCTCGGCAGCCAGTTCGAAAACGCCCTATATCAAAAAAAAAAGTTTTCAACAACGACCTATTTCAGAATTTGGTTGAAGAACGTCCTATATGACATCTGAAATCGAAACCCCCGTAGAACGGGACTCATTTTGTGGTCCCATTTAGCCATCTTCAAGAGTCATAAATACTGATTTGGTAAACTCAAAATGCCGCTAATTTTGGGGAACGGTAAGGGGGCTTAGACAAGACAGGCGCTGCTGTTATTCATTCAAAAGGAAGTGTATCAGTCTTTTAAACAGAGCAGATATAAAGTTACTTGATGGATATCTAATCGGAATGGATTTGACTGATTTTGACTTGAAGACAATCTTCAGAGCACATTCTCTTTTATTTTCCGGCCTAGGTCAGACAAAGATTAGGGCATTGTAAATCTTCGTAAAGCCTTTGAGTTAAGAATTCGCCTACCGAGGTGCTTTAAGTTTTTATTATGGAAGCCGAGGGCATCTTAAGAATTCTGAATTATGGATTTTTGCAAAGAAAGACGAATCTTTTAGGACACAGCACAACTAAGGGCTAAACTTTTTCTCAAATATATAGCTGAGTCTATACACCTCTGTTTTGTTACAATCGTCAAAATTTTCTGAAAAAGGTCATTTTGCGCCTGGGTTTTGTCTATGAAGTAATTTATTCTGTGCACTTCTTCGGTTCTCCTAAATTAAAATCGTACTTTCACTAGCACACCAGCAACTAAATAAAAGTGTACGCGTTAGAACAAATGCGTCGAAAATTAAGTTGTTTTCTTAGTGAGTTTCTTTTTCAATTGTCAGCTAAAATGGTAGCTTGTGAAGAATTAAGGAGCACGAAGTGGAAGGTAGAAAAAACAAAGGCAAAGGAGTAGACAAGTCACTTACAGGAGCACGCACAGTCCTTTCGCCAAAAAGTGTGTTGTTAAGTGGCAAAAAGCAAGAGTCAGAATGGGTGGTAAATTTGCGCTGCTTAAAATCTCCAAAGGAATGGAAGTGAAAATCTGCAATGCGCAATCAAGGTAGAATGTCCGATTCAACGAAGTGGAAATATTAAATGGGTGTGTAAAGTATTTCCGAATGCAATTATGTTCGTAGAATAAAGGGAAAGTTGTTTATTCAAAACTTGAATGTAAAAATCTGAATTGACTAACTCTTTAAGGTGTGAAGCATACATCAGGCTGAAGAAATTCTTCTATAGTATTGGTTTTGGGTTCAATACTTTTTTGTAAAGTTTTTAAGTTATCCATGGTCCTCCCAAGTTTGACATCCATTTTACAAGTTTTAATTAAACTTGCAAATTAAATTGATTTTGAATTTCGGAGCAGGTGGCAACCTTCGCCTTAAATAGTTTATCTATAAATAGAGCTTTCACTCGGTTGTTACTAATAATAAAATATATAACATGTAAATTAAATTAATTTTTAATTCCTACACAGGTGGCAACCCTCTTGCAATCCATATTCGAGATCAAGCTTTCTTAAACCTCTCTCCTGTTTGGCACCCATATTAAAATATTTTACTTAACTTGTTAATTAAATCAATTATGACTTTCTAAACAGGTGGCAGCCCTCATAAAAAATATTTGAGAAATAAAACTATCTTAAACCCCTCTCGTTTTACTCCAATATTAACATATTTAATCTAAAATGATTTTAAATGTCTAAACGGGTGGCAACCCTCTTCAAAAATTGTTTCGAAACGGTGCCTTCTTTAACCTCTCAGTTTATTTCTCATATAAAATACATATTTCCAATTTACCAATTTCCGAAATAAATTTTTCCTAAGCCACTTTCGTTTTAAACCCATATGGCAATATTTCATTTAACTTGTTCATTAAATTGATTTTAACTTCTTGAACACGTGGTAACACTGTTCAAAATTATTTCGAAATAAATCGTAACTTCTCTCGTGTGCTTTCTCATATAAAAAGTTTTACTTACATTGTTAATTAATTTGAATTCCTAAACAGGTGGCGACCTTCTTAAAACCCATTTTCGGAATAAATTTTTCTTAAACCGCTTTCATTTGATACCCATATAAAAGTATGTTATTTAACATCTTTATTAAATTTATGTTAACTTCTTGAACACTTGGCAACCCTCTGCAAAGTTTTTTCGAAATAAATCGTTTTCGAGCAGCACCTTTCCTTTGATACATTGTTTTAATATTTTATTTAACCTATTGAAAAAGGTGGCAACTCTCTTCACAAAATATCCTATATTTGAAAACTCAATGTGTGACAAATTTCAAGCAAATATGTATCGTCTTAACGTGAAAGAGCAGCAAACCTACTCACAACTCACTCACCCACAAACTTTCACATTTATACAATTAGTGGGATTAGTAAGATTGCCTTTTCTCCTCTCTTCTATCGTATATTCTATTCTATTAACGAAAGCTCTAAAATTCGCTAAATAATTTAATGTTTATCTTTTTATTTTTACTTTCAGCTAATAGGGATGGCGACATAAATGAATCCGTGGACAAACACCAGAGTAAACCTTCAAAGCCAACCTCCTATTCATGGAAAAGTGGAATTATGTACAACTAGCCAAAGAAATTGTTAGCAAACAGTATAAATGGCACAGTAAAGATAAATGGTAGCAGCGGGAAAAAGTATTATAACTGGATATTAAAGGCGAGCTATTAAGGTTTAAAAGAAAATCAATAGGCCACAAGGGAAGCATCCCGGAAAGAATATGGCCACATATGAATATGTGAGGTTAAAGTATTGACCATCACTAACAGATAGATATTCGTAACAAGAAATTAATGAAAAATTTAACACAATGGCGTTAAAGGACAAAATGAAGCCGCTAAGTCAACAAAAATGTAACGTGAACGAAAGCAAAGGACATTGCGTGAAGCAGGAGTGACTGCAAATGCGAGGAAAATTATTTAAAATAATGCAGTAGGCTGCTATGTATGTACTCGCAGTAATAAGAAAATGAAGAATAATTAATAATCGAAACAAAGTGCATAAAAAATATTTAATAATGAAGCGTAAAAGAAACAAAATATATACAAAAATTTGAAAATCTGAAAGATGTAAACTTAACACAAAAAAAAGTACTTAAATCAAAAAAGGTACTTAAAGCTAGTGAAATCCCCTTGCAACAATATTTAAAAATGCTGACATTGCTGCAGCCAAATATTCCACATTGCTCAGCAAGCAAACAACACTGCCAACCAGATTGCCCGTCGCGTGCCAAACGTACTTACCAGTTAAATAGCTTAAATTTATAAAGAAAAACATTTGTTGATCAAAGAAAGTTAAGTTTAGATTGTAATCATTTGCAGAAGAGGCACACTCACACACACAAGTACTTAACAGTAATTTTGGGTAGTTGGAAAATAAAACCTATCGTCGTTGCGCGTAATGACGACACTCCTTTGCACGTCTGCGACGCATTTACTATCGTTATCGTTACCGTTATCATTAACGCGTTCATTATTTGTAATTATATTTTTACTATTAATTGGTAATTTTGATTTGAGCATTCTACCGTTGCCAACAAAAAGCTTGAATCAGCGCAGTATCAGCAAAGTCTCAGCGGAAGTATTTACTTTGGGTTATTTAACCGGCTCACAGCGCAGTCCGGGAAATTTGGATTATCAGCGACCAGGTGAGTTGAGAAATAGAAGTAGGAAATATTTTAGAAATAAACTAAATCAGTCCAATTGTTCAAGTCCCAATTGTTCAAGTCCGTGTTGATCTTTTCTTACTTCATCTATATCGGAATTTGCTTTAAGCTTTAAAGGTTTTCTTTCGATCGACCGCAATCTGTATTTCAAGGTTATGAGTCTATACGACGCGAATCTGTTAAACTGGTATTATGTAGCAAGTTTGCTGAGGGACATTTGAACCCGAAGGACACATTACTCGACTTCATCGCCACCTCATATATATTTACAGCAATTAACAAGGCAATTCTGGCAACTGTCTTTCAACTAATCACGGTCTTTCAAAAGACAAGTCAGCCATCGTAAAGCTCTTTACTGTCTTTCGAAAAAATAATTGAAAGATCTTCTAATGAGGAGGTCTTAGCGGTATTCTGCTTATCTTTTAGCAACAAGTTTTTTTATAATTAAATAAGAACCTTTTCACATTACTCGGTATGAAATCGGCACTTTTTCCTCGGTATTTTCAGCATACCGAAACGATTCCGCATTGCGCTGAATTGCAAACTATAAATATTTGTTTTATTTATATTTATTTTTTTTTTTTACTTCTTACTCTCTTCTTCTTGTTTTTGTACGCCGCAAAAATGTGTGTGGTCTAAAAATTTACTAATCGGTCTTACTGCAGTGCGATATACCGAAATTAATCCGCTCATACGATATAGTAAAAGCGACATCGACATGCGCGCAGTGCACATTAGAGCGATACGACACGCGATACCACATGCGGTGTGATAGCAAAGCGTGTCGCTCGGCCGATGGGCAAGCGATTTATATCGCCGCAGCGTCGCTGTCGTGCAAGTGAGCACAGTTTTCATCACTTTCTACCAATTCCCACATACTCAGCATGTCGATGTCGCTTTCATATCGTATCGCGTATCGTATCGCTCTAATGTGAAAGTTAAAATTGAAATACATGTGGTCGGTAAAGGTTCGGTGTTAACCAAAAATATCGATCCGATATCGTACCGAGTAATGTGAAAGCGCTCTTAAATAAAAAATGTACCTACACATATATATATATATATATATTTATATATATATTTCTTTTTAAAATAATAAAAACTCAAAAATAAACAGGAAATTAATTAAAGAGCAAGAAGTAAATTTTTAAAATTTTCAAAAATTAAAAGAAATTTAAATTATACATTTCCTTTAAAAAAAATTATATCCAACAATTTTGTTGAGCTTTGAAAACAATAAAATCTAAAAAACAGAAACAAAACATTATAAAAAAACATTATTTTTTAAACAATAAAATCTGAAACTTAAAGAAAATTAAATAAAAATGTAAATAGATAAAAAGATAATGATTTCCTAAAAATTACATAAATGAAATATATAAAAAAAAAAATATTTTTCTTTTTAATATTATGTATATAGATAACTTCTAAAGCGACTTTTTCAAGTTTTGCTATAAAAAAATATTTTAACTTTTTTAATTACAAGGCTAATAAATTTTAATTAAAAAATCTAAACACAATTTTTTACTTTACAGGCATCACCATCTCCGGCGCCATTACACTCGCCGTTTCCCAAGTGAATGCTGGCAGGCTTAAGGAACTCGGTCATTCACTGGAATTCATTGTGGCCGAAACCTATGGTGATGAAGTATCGAGCATACGGCAAACGGCCTCGCTTTGGACTCGGCAAGTAGCCGGCTACATTGGACCACAAGAGACCTGCGTGCATGAGGGGCGCATGGCAGCCGCCTTCAATTTACCTATGATATCCTATGTAAACAGAGCCACCTAAAGCATATCATCCCATATTATAAATTATGCTACTAATCCTTAAATTTATTGCAGTACTGCATACACCGCGACACGTCAAATAAACAGGACTTTCCCACCTTTGCGCGCACGCGTCCGCCGGATACGCAAATTTCAAAGTCAGTGGTTTCACTGCTTTTAGCTTTTAATTGGACGCAGGTGAGTGGCTTTGGTATATTTTTAATGCTTTAAAACATAGCTTTTTAATTACTTTAAAATATTTGTTTACTAGGTTTCCTTCCTGTATTTGGATAGTCCACATAGTCCTTTTCATCCGGTTGCTGAGACAATACAGAATATTTTACACAATGCTGGCGTAATTGTGCGCGATATACAAACATGGAATACCATTTATCATCACGGCTTCATGGTGAATCCTTTCGATGAGTTGGTGGAGCGTACCTACAAAAATACACGCAGTGAGTAAAAAGTGAATTTTAAGAGGAAAGGGAGTCATCATTGTAGATATGCATGTATGCCTATGTACATACATAAATATGTATACTGATGACAGCCAAAGAGCTGACACACTACTAGGAACAATCTACGATCTGAAAGAAAATCTAGCCAAAAATTTCCACTGCTACATTTGTAGGTTGTATGTATGAATACGTTTTGTGCAAACTCCTACCTGTAAGTGAATTCTCCGCTGCTCAGCATATTCTGCAGTTAGAGGCAAGTTTTTTTCATTATCCTTTTGATCCTGCTTTCGTTCGATCATTATCCTGCTAGTGTAATTCTCATATGCCTTTTGCACATTTCAAGAGAAATAGTTTACCTGCGACTCGGTTTAGTTATCGCTTCTCGGCCTTATGGCTAAGATCAAAGTGTAGTA